CGCGCCGTCGCCGCCGCCAAGGTCAAGTTCGCCATGTTTCACCGCGCGTCCCGCCCCCGCACCGCGCCGCCGCTGCCTCCGGCGCGCGCCACCGCCTATGTTTACATCGCGCGCAGCAAATGCGATGAACGGAACGAGTGGAGCAAGTGAACGACATGTGTACATGCAAAGCACCACTGCAACGGGGGACGTTTTTATGCTTAACGATTAGTATTTAATCGAGAACGTTAAATTTGAGCGATTGTCACAAATGAAACCAAGGGTCATCGAAGGCAAGTGGTATAAAAACGGCTGTTCGAATACCCACTGAAAGCAACACGTGTTTTAACAATGCAAGTAACTGTGTCATTTGCTGTGGCCGTTCGGAAGAGTAGAAGTCCGAGTACGATAGAATCACTTGACAGCAAACCGGAACCAATGAAAATGATGGATATTAAACCGACACTACGCCGTTACATCCAAATGCTTGAATCCGAACATTTCACTATAGTATCTCAAAATATTTCGGTTATTTATGGTAGAAATACATTTTCCTTTCCATAGAGAAATTTCTCCGCTACTCTTAACAAATGCAGTGCCAGCCAGTTCATCTGTGGGCAATCCTCGCCATATTTACTGCAATGTCAGCGGCAATCCTGTGCCGCCATACGTTACCACGGCAATATCGCTAATTCGCCCACCCCGACCTCTTTTCTCCGTGCTCCTGATGCAGCGGCGAGGAGTGCACGGCGCCCGCCCTCCCCGCCGGCGCAGCGCAGGTGGCGCGGCCGCGGAGATATATTTGGCAGGGGCAGCCGGGGCGAGGAGGGGAGAGGGGGAGCGGAAGCCTGAGCAACGCCGCGGGGGCGGAGGACGAGGGGGGTAGAGGAAGGACGGAGGCGACGGCGCCGCCCGGGTGCAGCGCGGGGGCGACCGTGGAAATAAACGGCGCCGTCAGCCGCGAAAATACCGCCGGCGGCGGCGGCGGCGCCCCGCGCGAGCCGCCTCTGCGCCGGCCTCGCCAGCGGGACGAGAGGATTGGATGCACTCAGAGGCCTCGCAGCCGTGCATGCTAGGCCTTAAAGACAATAAATAGTGAGGGAGAGGCAGTGACTATTTCGGGGCTTAGTTGCAAACATATATGTTGCCTCACTTTGAAACGTATTTTATTTTAAACGTTTTACACCTACCTAAAGATTGCCTCCCACATGAATCAATCAATGAACGTTTATACGAATTCTACTGAGACGCGATTAGTCATAGTTACAAGGGAGTATACATTTCGAATTTCAAAAATAATGCTGGGATTTTCCCCGTTCATATGCAGCACACCGCCTCCCTCACATCTCTGCGGCCCTGCGGTCACTCCGCGCCAGGTTTTCGCCCGTTCCCTTTCGTGTGAAGAAGCCGCTTCGCAGAAGGCTCCAGGAAAGTGCGTCGCTGCGCCCACGGACCCCGTCGACAGAGCCGGCCGGCCGGCCGACCGCCCCCGCCCCCGGCCTTCGCCCATTCGGGGAAATCCTGCGTCGCAACGCCACACGCACATCGACGCGCGCGCTCCCCTGAGTCAGGGCGCGCTGTCACCCGGGCGGCATTTCCGGTGACAAAGCGGTAGCGGCGGCGAAGCGACGCCGGCGGTAACGTGAGCCAAAAGCAAATTCTGGAGAGATGTTGTCGGCTCTACGAGGCGATCGTTAGAACAATGACATGCCATAATTCATGAGCAATAATGAGACAACATAGTGAGAAAAGGGTCCAACTCGTAGCGATGAATACATGGAATGAAAGTTTTTTGACGAAAACGGGAAAATATTAGATTGAACTAATTCCTGATTAAGTGAATCGTGGGTTCATTTACGTAATAAATGTCCATGCTACAGCAAACTTGTTATGTTTGGGGCTTTATTATTATTATTATTATTATTATTATTATTATTATTATTATTATTATTATTATTATTACTTACAACCTAGCAATATTCAGCTTCCAATAATATGTTGGCTGCAACAAATATTTCTCTCAGTGAAACAATGAAGAGTTTCGGTAACGGACGAGTCATGTTTGCATGCGTGGAGGGCAGAGAAGCAACAAACGGATTCAGATGGGGACGAAGCCACGGGAGTTGAGAATTTTGTACAGTGAGAAGTCTTTTAGTGTGTAGCACTTTCGAGCCTCTCGGAGTGTTCAACTCGAACTGCCCATGCGCCGAGGTACAAACGTTGTATCCGCTAAGGTACTTAACCTTGCGCAAAAAGTCTCTACAGTCTGCTCCTAGAGGCTAGTCACCGACAAGGAATGTAACATGAAACTTTTTTCTGCGCACAAAACAACGCAAGCAAAAGTGAAATGTGAGAAGTACGACAGACGAGTTAGAACGCGTTCTAAAAGTACGATATGATTCTCGGAAAATGTAAATAAGGGGAAAATGGCTCTACGCCGACAAATGTGCTCGAGAAAAAAAACACTAAAAAACTGATAACCTTAAAAAAAACTGAGTGAGAACTGTTCTGTCCTCGTTCCGCCTCTTCCAAGAAATAGTATCAAGGTTTGTAAAGTCACATTCTAAAGATAGACATTCATTGTTCGCAATATTTCACACCATGGTGCAACAATATTTAATAAAACGTAAAACCATTTTCAAGAACGAAATATCCAGGCTAAATTGGCGTGGTTTTGATTTAATTACAGTTCCAAAGCTACTCGATCGCCCATCTACTTGGTTTGAGAGCAAGTTAACATATACCGTGTAGAGGTTTCATGTAAACATTCGTGTCAGATTTGACATCTTCAAAGAATTAGTTGGCAGAAGCAAACTCTATGAATATTACCACGGAAAGAAATGTTAATCTATTGTTTCGACTTGTGTGATCTGATATTATTGAGCAAAAATCACGATTCAAAAGCCCAGATCGTCATAAAACAGGTACATAACTTGAACGTTCATAAATCTGATACTATTCAAACATAGTAAGAACAGGCTTCGATAGCTCAGGGTAACAACTTGCCACTGGAGCGACTCCGAGCGGGGACGTACAGGGTTCGCGTTCCAGCTGTGGGGGTTTTCGAACTAGTACGAACATACGTAGTTAGCTCGAAAACTGAATTCTGGAGGGCGGCTGTTTGGATCTGTATTTTTCTGTAGTATCTCCGATCAACGCCCGACGAATACCGGAGCTTAACAAACTGCCAAGCCACTGACCGTAAGTGATCCATTCTTTTCATCCCTTAGATTCATTCTCGCATTTAAGTGCCCTCCACATGTCAGTGACTTTGGCTTGCGCGATTCCCTGCTGGAGGACAAACCTTGAGAAGAGAAATCCCGCAAGGCGAAGTGAATGTAGGGACCCGACCCCACGTTTCACCAGCGGAAGAACACCACCTCCTTCCGAAATATAACCAAGCACTACACATACAGGTCCAATGACCACAATAGCAAACGTGTCCAGATACAAACACAATCAATTAATCCTTATGCAGTAATCGAGTAACACGCGCCCGTCCTGTCACTCGCGGTTAGACCCGTTCCGGCCGGCCAATCGTGACAAACGAGGGTCAATCGACGCGCCTCAGATCCGTGGGGAATGGCGATAATTAAACCCAATTTTGAACTGAAATCGAAATTTTAAAGCGTTTTAATCGATTCTATTTCATGATACTTTCAACGCCCGAAAATGGATGAATTGAGAAACTGCAATACTTTAGAATTGATTTTCATTGAACTTGCAAAACAAAAAAGTTGTTAACATGAGAAAATCCGCCAGAGATTTATTAGATTAGAGTAGTATCATTAAAGTTAATATTTCATGAAGAATAATACAAGTAATAGGCATAGGGCCTCTAACATACGGCAGAAAGAACTGGAAGATTTATGATAATCTCCTTTCCGTCTGTGTAAAACTGGAAGAAATTCTGTGGTATTTAATCAAAAAATTAGTATTTTTAAATTTTTTTTAATGTTGATCGAATACAAAACAAGCTTGAAATATTGTCAACTAATTCAATTTTCTGTATCAATTATTTAAACGTAATTTGTATAAGTACTGACTCTGAGAAGTCACCTCTACCCGTCGCGACCTTCAACAAACCGAAACCGCTCTTGCTTCTGCACCCGCCTTCCTTGTGGCAGCTCTTTGCTCCCGATCCGCCTTTCTGATGAGCCCTGTAAGTCATACGCTGGCTCACTATTCTTGGACTTAAACATAACTGCACTTGAGGTAAATTAGCTGTTACGGTGTAAACCAAATCGGGAGGTTCAACTTCACCACAGTGAGGAGACCATCGTTATGAGATTTTATAACCGTACATATATAGGTCAACATTTATGTGGACGGTCTCCTCAGATAATTCTCCAATAAAATTTTCTAATAAACAAATTCTTTGAATTTAAATTAGGTTTATATCTACTGTCGCCATCATTAGGCGTGCCTAACTAAATGCAGAAAGCTGCGCAAGTTACTATAGTGGATCCTCGATATGTAGAATTTGAAGAGGAAAATAATCGTTTCTAGACGACTTTTTTAAGCTTTATTTTTCGAGTTGTGAAGGTTATTTCGCTGAGATGAATAAACTCTAGGGATTTAGGAAGCCTGATTGAATAAACTACTTTCTGGAGTATGTGTCTACACAAATACAAATATTTAATGAAATGTAAAGGTACGAACACAATGATAATCGCCACAAGGAATATCGCCGAAGTTCACTTATCATGTTCTCATACATTTCGGAATTCCTCCCGACCATCACTTGTGAACAAGAGCACCATTGCGAGGAGGGGTCACGGAGCTTCGCGCGCCCTTGAAAACACATTGTCGAGGAGGGCGGATAGGGAAAGCATGCCCTAAAGCTTTCAGCGAACTAGTAAATCACGTATTCTACAGAAAGTCAACAACTAATGCAAATTCACTCTTACAGTGAAGTGAGATCAAGTGGAACCATTTCAACTTTACATCGAGGAGGTTATCGTGGGTCGGTTCTCTGTTGGACTTAAAGAGTTTAATTAATGTTTAGGGAAAGTGAAAATAAATAAATACATTCAAGATAGAGAGGAATTCCAGATAGTGATGTTCGAGTTATCGCGGTTATCCTGAATTCAGGACAGAACAGAAGCTGACAAAACACTGGAGCAGTTTCTGATATTTTAAAATTATCTTCACTTCAAGCAAAAATTACGCGGAAACAACTCGTTTTCGAAAAAATTGTACACGATCTTATTTAAATATCTATTTTTTAGAACAAATTTCATTACAAAATATCTATCATCAATTTAGTAGTTTTGCAATTTTCACCTTGGTAATTTTCGAAATCACAGTTCACCGAAAGTGGGATCAACAGCATTTTTAAACGCGTACATTGCTCTCTTCCAGAACAGTATTTTTTTAAATGCCTATATTTTCGGGAAAATTACACAAAAACTATTTATATTTACAAATAATTGAGGATTACCTCATTTAAAGATATTTTAAGTACGGATTCCATTAAGGAAAAAATGTTTATCATAAATATGAAGTTGTAGGAAGATGCCAAAAAGAGGTTAATATTGTTCCATTTTCCTAAAATTCAGAGATCAACAAAAATTAGACCGGCAACACTTTAAGGCGTACTTTGCTCTAAAGGTGAAACAAATTAACATAAACATTTTCAGCAATTTTTGAGAAAACGTTTAAAATGTTAAGGCTTCCTGTAAAGTACCACGAAAATAAAAGTATCCGCTTCAAATGCACAGGGATTCGAGTTGGCCCGAGCGATAGGGGAATAACAATTTTGGACGAAATCGTCTCAGTGGTTTAAGCTCTAGAAATGACCACGGACAGGCGGGCGGATACACCTTTGCCTGAACTCAATTTTCGGTATCAAGGGGCCAAACGTATATTCGTGATAGAGGAAGTAATTTACTTAGTATAGGAACAAGATTTATCCAGTTTTTGGATGACAGGGCCCCGTAATACGAGTTTTCTGACGAAAAATAGCCACTTTGTATGCAGTAAATTACTAAATCGCCATTCACATATGTAGAAGGCGATAACGTAAAAAGGATATCATTACTTCAGATGTGTTGTAACGCTTCCATCATGCAAGAAAAGAAAAAACGACGTCAGGAGGTTATCGAAACAAGAAAATTCACCAACTTTTCCGCAAACACATCCTTATCTAAATTTCACAACAAAACTGCAAATAAACATTCACATAATCAATATCCGCTTACCATAATACTTACATCTGATGTTCAATATACTTACGAAAAATAACAAAAAGGAGTACTAATTTCGGAGACAAATTTGTTATGAATTATATTTTAAGAATATAGTTGTAGAAAGAGAAACTTTTGGAAATGAACTTTCACCAACGTTAATTGAGGGATTCAGTACAGGAAGTCTGCAATTCGACTTCAGATCGTTTCAGAGATACAAGATGCTTTATAATATGTCAGTAGGTGAAGTAAACAAAAATAAAATATGTAAATTTGTGGAGATTTCAAGGCTTCAAGAATCTTATGCTAGTGGTCAGTGGGAAAATAGAAAATGAATTACAAAGTACAGTGCGTTTGTTGGAAGGCAGCATGACGGGAGGGTTATATTAAGCGAGTGTTGGGCTAGAAATTACTGAATACTAAAAAAGAAGGACACTACATTAAAAACGTCTTGATATTGAACAATCTTGAGTCTGCTTATCAAATCCATAACCTCTCAAGACTGACAAACGGAAAGATATTATAGAACTGGCGATGTATGGCAATACAATCAGAACGAATCTGACGGAGCGAGAGGATAATATGAGTATAGGGGAAAAATTAGACGTTAAAGTGTAGATTGAGGAGGGGTTTCACACACCAACATAATCTTGCTCCCTTTACGACACATTCCTCCACAATTCTTCTTATCATCATTCACTAATCTACAGGCGTACTTTTGAAACACCTGATCATTTCTCCTATACAATTTAATTAAACCCAACAATTGAGACTCAACCGTAAAATAAATGAAAATGACACAGGGATAGTATGTGGCGGAGATTTTTCAGGATCACGAGACAAAATGAACGAAATGAACAAGAAACTGACTGAAAACAGATAATGTGTAATCTTTAATGACCTATTCTGAAAGAATCAACCGAAAACAAATAACCTTCTTAAAATTAAAATAAAAATGCAAAAAAATAACTCCATAAAACGTAATTATTAGTCTACAAACTTTTCAATAATTATCTTAAGATTACAAAATCATCTAAAAAGAGCCTTTAAATCTTGGAAATGGATTTTGTGCCAATATTTTAATTGCTAAAGGCTAATGCGTTTAATGATATCGCGAACCATTAGATTTTGAGCTAGTGATTATATTCACTTAGGGAGAAAATTATATTCACTCTGTTAAAACGCGCTTGCTCTACTACTGATTTAAAGAAATGTACATGTACGATGAGGAGATTTATGACATGGATTGAAATGCAGACAAACGATGCGACCAAAGGACTTCTAACCTGAATTTCGTGATGGAAAGCTTTGTGTTATGTTCATGCCGTAATCTACAAAATGAGTTAAAAATACTAATCGTCTACCTCAAGTGTGTGTACACACCACAAATGCCCCTATTTACATATAACAGAAATGCAAAATACTTATCACTGCTATAATACACAATCGAAGTATAAAAGGAACAAAATTATAATTAATCCAGTACACGTATTAAATAACTTCAAATTACTTGTACAAATCTCATAAAACAAGAATATAATCACAATGTAACATTAAAGAGGTACGTTATCTGTCGAATGTTCAAAATAAAGGAACAAATTGTTAAGAACTAATTTGCATTATTCCCACAGACATGTAAAGTGCTTCTTCATTGACTCGACTTCAATGATACGCTCTTCATTTAAACTGACTGCGATGACGTCAGTTTCATCATCAACAATGTTTCGTTTCATCATCCTGCACCTTCCTGATTGTCAGTTTCCTATTACGGCCAAAGCTCCTTTCCGGGGGCAAGTCTCTAGACAAGCTGGTCTTATTTAAAGCATTTTGAAAATATGATTTACAAAACGTTTACATTACCTTGAGGATACTTCCAGGTTAAAAATCTTTGGTGTTTTTTAATCAATTTAAAATGTTTTTATGAGACATTTCCCCGTGGTTTCTCTACCATGTCTTTAAATTACACGTTTAATGTTGTAGTGTAGGTGCTCTTATTTGTTCCTCTCTGCCTCCCATCGTACAATGTCATTAAGAGGCAATCCCCCAAAGCGTTCCTATATCTTGAATTACCCTCATCTAAACATCTTACGATAAAAAGTACACGACTTGTCAAGAGTAGTAATGATGTACTTAAGAATAATTATTTTGTTATTGTAAATGTCACATTCCAAAACAACACAAAAGTTTCCCCCGTCTATCTGTACCTCTTAAATTAAGAACCCCTTGTATACAAAACTGTTGCTGAGAAGGCATCTAATCCAGAAAGAGAGCGAAGGTGTTTGTGTTTCAGAGCAGAGTTGACAGAAAGAACACAAACACACAGGGATATTACCGCATGTTAACAAGAATTCCTATTAAAATGCGATAATGTACCTCACCAGAATACCTCGTAACAGAGGAAGTTCCTTGAATTCTTGTCCCTACCTTCTTTTGACTAGAATGAACAGCGGATTTTTGGTTCACCTTACGAGATATACAACTCTACCTACACCACTAGATGTGTAATTAATAATTCTTCTGTTAATACCGTAGCAACGGTTGCTGCAGTGGTTTTGTTTCTTCGTACCTCCGAAGATGGCTCGGCGGGGCGGTGTAGTCGGCGAAGGCAGCGAGGACGGCGCCTCCGCAGTAAATAAAGCAGGGCGCGGGCGCGGGCCTGTGGGAGGGTGAGGTGGAGGGGGGGGGGCGTCCGGGAGCGGAGAGGGGCACCTGACGTCAAAGAGCCGATCGATGCCCGGCTTGGACAGGGCTTCCAACTCAAAACTCGCACAACTCCCACTAAGAGAATAGGCCTTTGCTTACCGGTCCGATCTATAGGCCTTTCCAACATCCGTATCTTCTCCAGCCCAGTCAAGAAACAAACATCGAGGTAAATATTACTGATACAATGAAAGTAATGAAATGAACTATTGGGGATACATCACAGTTGTTAAAATGAATCAAATAAGAACTGTGGCAGTCTATATGGAACAATTAAGCACGCTTGATCATAGAACAATCCTAAAATAATTTTATAATTTGAAACAAATGGTAAAAGTGATAGGCATGTAATTTGAAGAAACTACAATACTGATATTCCTTTTATTGAAGATGTCAAACGTCTTAGGTGCTTAGACGTAGGAAAAGAAATGTAATAAAGATGGAGAAATAGAGATGGGAGAAATGGGGAATTTCGTAGTGGCAATGAAAAACCAAAAAACTTAAAATGTAGAAAGTAGAAATAGACAAAAACTATGAGTAAAAACTATATAAAAACGAAATAATCACTGGTAGGTCAAAGAAACGGTAGAAGAATTAAGCATATGTAGGTTCGGAACAGATTATTATAAAAACACTCAAGAATAAAAAAAATAAAAAAATAAAAAAAATTAGACATAGGAAATTGAGAACAACACTGGAAAAATAATGATGTACCACTCACATTTAGGAATGCAACAATTCTCACAATAGGGTCCGAGGGGGAGAAAGATAAATTATAGAAAGATATAATATTATAAGTAGAAAGAAGAAGGCTGATCATACACAGATTCTGTGGAATGGTATATGGAATTGGACTATTCTCACCACATACCATTTCATTACATACATATACAGAGTAGTTACTTGTAAAAATAATTATGCAATGTACGCACCAATTTTACAAAGTAATAAATACCTACTGCTGATTACTAAAAAAAAGACAAACATTCCTTAATCATCGAAACATATGCAGAAATGTCAAAATAAACAATTCTTCCAAGAAATGAAGGCTTTTTTTCTGGGTATTCATCATACGTTGGAACATAGTGGTTCTTCATCTTCGTAGACCCTGGCGGGAACTCAAGTTCACCCACGGACAAGTTGTCAGAGGAGCCGAACGTCAGCCCCAGGAATACCGCGAAAGCGACCGGGCGACCCAAGACGCGTCGGCTCTGGTCACTCGGCCGAGCGCGAGGAAAAGATTCATTCAATTGTTTGAACAGCCTTCACGCACATGGCACAGCGAGGCGAATCATCAATCACGTCAGCACCACGCCTTGCCGCTTCAAACAAACAGCGATAACGAAGGAGCTTCTAAGCAACACAAACTGCGAATTTTCGCTTCGGGAAACAACGATAACCTTCAGACAATAATTGATAAAGCTCATTATTGCAAGATTTCTCTGCTAACTAGATAAACAAGACATATCTTGCAGTCAATGAATTATACTTCATGGAAAAGAAACGATACGTTTCCAGAAATCCAAGAGTGAGCACGCGAAATCGAATGATTTCCCTCTCATTATACCGGAAGACATGATAATAGGGCACAGCCGTCGCAAAAGAGAGCATCTCTCTACAGAGTGAGCCGCCTTCCCGAGGGTGGACGCGCCGATGCGAGGGACCCCGATCGATGCCCGCTCTCGGAATGTAGGGCAGTGACGGTCGCAGGAGCGTCCTCTTACGTAAGGGAGAAGCCATGTTTAAAACATGGCGCCAGCGAGGAGCAGGAGCAAGTAAACACAGGCCGCGGCATCGGCCACGGAGACACGTCCCATCGACGCCGTCCTCGTCCGCCAGCGGAGAGAGGCGGCAGCGGCAACGGGGAGAGCCACGGCGCCGCGTTGTGCAACCCGCGCGCGCCCACAGCAACTAACATGGCCGGCAGCGGCGTCGGCGTCGAGCGCTAGCGCGGGCGGGCGCGGGCGCGGGCGCGCGCGCGGGGCCACCAGCTGCCTGACCTTGGCAATGACCTTGGCCGTGAGGCACACGCTCTGGGTTTCCAATTGATTGCGTCAAGACGGCGAAGGGGGCGGAGCGGGCCGGTCGGGATGCGAGGACGAGGGGAAAGCGAGCGGCGCAAGCGCGCCCGCGCGCGCGCCGCGCCGACGCCGCACCCGGCGCGCCGCGAAGTCGTCCTCGCTTCACTGGTGAATACGCGCGCGGTTCGGCAGTGAAGGGGCGCGTCCGAAGCCGTGCTGGCATCGCGCGTCCGCGTCGCACGGCGATGGAGGGTGAGGAGGAAATGGCGGGAGCGGCGCGGCGTGGAGGCGGAGTTGGTGGGTGGCATGGCGGGGCGGGGCGGGGCGGGCCGGATGCCGCCCCCAGTTCCTCCGCTTCGAACCCCTGACCGATATTACGTCAACTCACGGGACCCGCTTCAAGTTACCTTCTGCGTTGCAAAAATAGACATCGGCGCGAGCAAGCCGAGCCGGTTTCGCCCGCCTCCCCCCGCCTGGCCCACACGAGCGCGGCTGGAGGAGGAAAAGGCCCTTGCGGAAGGGAAGCGCGAAGGATTCGGAAGACCCGACGCCCCCATAGGCAAGCGTCCGGTCACGCGTCCTCCGCGGCCACGCTGCCCCCATCCTGGCACGGCTGGCGTCCGCTTGACCAGAGCAGCGCGGAACGAGTTGGCGAGGAGAACGGGGAAAAAAAAGAAGGGGAAGGGGGAAAGAAGGCTTTGGGGCAGAGAAACACGCGGACGCGCACTGCCGAGAGCAGCAACGGGACGGAAAATGGCTAGCGCGGTGGAAGTGCAGAAGTGAAAGACAACGTCGGCGGCAGGTGACTGCTTGGAACACGTTGTTTATGGAAACTCTGACAAGGAATAAGAAATATAGAGGGATTTGAGAGTACTTGAGAAGATTTTTATTTGAAATGTTCCTTAAGAATCGAAAGTTACATAAAGAACTCACCCATTTGATATAAATTAGCAGTTTAAAATATTGTCTACATACTTGCACAATATACGCGGAAGTACCATCTTTGGCTAATTTCACTAATTTACGTGAATTCTGAATGTCCTCTGTTGCATAAGTTGCATTAAATGTAATTTCTAATTAAACGCATTGGCCAAATGTGATGAGATTTGCTTTGACAAACAAATATATAATATGTAAGGTGGTGTTTGTTTTTACGTTTTTTTTGAGATAGCATTCCATCTCCTGTATCAGCCCATTTGTCAACCAAAGATATTACTTACTTTCGTGATGTTGCAACGCCTTTACTTAAAATGGAGTAAGTAACGTTTCCCATTATTCATGTTAAGCTATAAAACTTAACAATTTAAGGTAGAAGATCAAGGTGAGCGCTTTTTCGTTTAT